CCCCGCCCCGTCTTTTGCACAACTCTTTGTGCTTTTATTTATTTATATATTTAAGAAGTATATGGCTGCCCATCACATTGCCGTGGATTTTTATTACAGGCTTGAACTGATTCTCTTTAATTATTATTTATTTCCTATCTTTGTTTAACCCCATATGTAATTAAAGATATAGCGATATGACTGTTCTTGGCAGATCAACTTTAATCCCTTCATGGAAGACAAACCCACTCTTTGTTTATTATGAGCTATGCAGGAACAGGGTTTGGAGAAATGTGCTCGAGATAGCAATTTTCTGGTATTAAAATACCTTACCACAGCCTTTACTCACATGCAAAAAATGTAGCATTTCTGCAGACCCTGCGGTATTATGAAGGATGTTCACGTACTGATTTATTGGTAGTACTAAGCATATTTATCTAGAGTTAAATTGTGCATACTTTCCAATATTTCAAAAGTAAAAATAGGAGCACATTTTTCACCCTAGTCAATTAATCACAAATTATTGTGATTCTATTGTTAAGTATACTGCTGCAAATCACAGAATCCAATAGCAAAGAATGCTTTGAATTGGGAATAACTGGAAATTCCATGCCATATAAAACAAACCCCGCTCCCTCCTTCACAGTCAGGTAAATACAATTTCTTGCATGTTCTATCTGAATTCCTCCCCCCCTCCTCCTCCTCCTCCTCCTCCTCCTCCTCCTCATCCTCCTCTTCTCCTCCTCCTCCTCTTGCTCCTCTTCCTCCTCCCTCTCCTTCAAAAAGAACCTTCTGTACTTCTTTGTAGCCTCCCAGGGAGAAGCATCAAAGTGATAGTTTACTAGAATTAGAATTCTTTATTTGCCAAGTATGATTAGACACCCAAGGAATTTTTCTCCAGTGCATAAGCTCTCAGTACATACAACAATAGTGATAGATCATTATCATAGTTATTGTAAAAATATATTCATCATAAAACATTAGATACAATACTTAGTGATAGTCACGAATGCTCAATAAGCAATCAACATAAATCATACTGGATACTAATTAAACAATTTAAATTGTAAATACAAGCAACGCTATTCGGGTGGCTGGCAGCAACCCACCTCTGGTTTAGAAATCATAAATGGGTGCTTTCAGCATTCTATCTGCCATGTTTCATATCACTATTCAAACCATCCTTGGTGAGAACAACTTGGAGGACAAGTGAGTTGGATAAATGGCCGCCTCTAAAGGACTAAAAGATTGCACAATTTATAGTGTAACAATCTCAAATTAGTTCCTGTGATGTGTACACTATGTATTTCTTCTATCACAAACCTAAAAAGGTACTTCCAAGGTCATTTTTTAGGTTACAGGACCAAACTGCCTGGGCATTCAGTTAGCCAAGGGCCAATTCTCACCAAGTTTTCTAATGTCCTAAATTGAGTATGATCCTTAGCCTGGATAATTGATGCTTGTTTTGGGAATGCTACCTGTCTCCCGCCTTTTTTTTCTGATTGACATATGCAGCTTCATCCCTAAGTACTCTGCCTTTGTTTCTAGCCCTTCTGATCCTTTACTGCATTTTTTACTCTTTCCTAGTTTTATATGTTCTTATTTGATCTCTTTGTTAATAATTACTTCAAGCTCTTTCTGTGTTTGATTATTCACTTGAATTTGAGTTTTTTCTTTTTTCTTTCCTGCGTTGGACTTTTGATCTCTGCCTCCTACAAAGTTGACCATATGCCTTCGAGCTCATTTGGACTTATGTCTAGAATGTGTTTGCTTGGAAGCTGACCCTTGTGATGTCCAAAATGATATTTATCTGCTCAACAAATTCCCTCTTCTGCAGTGACTTAAAAAACATTCAAGTATTTATTGTTTGATTAAAGATATACTAAGAATAAATTAAATGTCAAATCGACTTGTTATTCTGCTTATGTCAAAAACTGGAAAGATGGTCTTGGGACCTCAAAAGCTAATGTATTTATTATGCAATTATGTTAACATAACAGACATAACAAACCAGCAATAAACAAAAGCTGGAGCATATGCTTCTTATTGAAATACTAAATAAATACAGGAACAATTTATTCCTACAGTCTCCCCTTATTCATTTTGAATTTGATTTATTGCTTCTATTGCGGCATCATATGGACTGCTCTGAAAGCCATTAAGGACCATTAAAAGATAATGTATTGGCAGGATCTGCTGTTGCATTTTCAGTCTCTTTCCTTACATAATGCACTTGAATGGAAAAAAAATACAACCTTCTCATGTAAAAAAAGGTTTTTTTTGGATTGATGGAGACTTGAGTCAATTCATTTATTATCTAGCCCTGAGAGACTGCTACACCCAGATCTTAATGTATTTAGATAATACCCTCTCAGCTTGTCTAGCAATGGCAATTACATTCCATAGCAGAAGAGCAGCCTCTAGCATTAAACAAATTATAGTGTTCAGCAAATTTCTGATCACGGTGTAATGTGAGTGCTGATTTTCTTTTTCAGTGGTGCTATTCCTTCCTAGTTCTAAGAGGAGTAAATTAGAAATATTGTTTTATCTTGTGGCCATAGTAGGTGACTCAGGATATGTTCAAAGCTTTCAGCAGAACTAAGAGTTTAAAAGAACATGCATACAAAATAGAAGATGGATATAATTACCAAGGAGTTGCAGCACAAAGTAATTAATATCCACAGAAAATGAGACGTACCAAAGAGCAAAAAGAACTTTGATTTGCAAAGGAAAAGAAAGGCAAGAAAAAGAGCTATTTCCTACTATACTAATAAAAAAAACAAGAAGGAGTGCAGAGGTGGTATTCAGCAGGTTCTGACCAGATGTGGAGAACTAGTAGTGGAAATTTTGGGTAGCTCGGAGAACCTGTAAATACCACCTCTGACTAGCCCCTCCCCCATCTATTCTCTGCCTCCCAAGTCCCAGCTGATCGGGAGGAAATGGGAATTTTTCAGTAACCTTCCCCTGGCGTGGGGAGGGAATAGAGATTTTATAGTATCCTTTCCCTGTCATGCCCACCAAACCATGCTATGCCTACCAAGCCATGCCATGCCAGCCAAGCCATGGCCATAGAACCGATAGTAGAAAAAAAATGAATCCCACCACTGAAGGGGTGAGTGCAGTACTATGAGCAGATGGTAAGAAAATAATACATGACGTGGAGAAGAGATATCATCAACCTTTACATTCTTTAGTGTTCTCCCCCAAGAATTGTAATCTATTTGTAACCTAAACAGAACAGCTACAACAGAAGAGAATGGCAACTGAAGGGGAGCTAAAAGGTAGTTACTTAAAGAAATAGACCAATGTTTTATCAATCTCTGTAAGGTGAAGATGGAGATGTTTAAACAGAGGCTCAGTTATACTACTTGAGAACATGTAGACTCTGAATTCTAGTCCATTGTTAGGCATGGAAGCCAGCTGGGTTACCTTAGGCCAGTGATGGTGAACCTATTTCTTACGGTGTGCCAAAGTTGTGCGTGTGCACTATTTCACACATGTGCCTACTCAATCTCTGTCCAACGGCGCATGCATGTGCGACCCAGCTGACAGCTGGTGTACCACTAAATATGACTCCGCATGCCACCTGTGGCATGTGTTCCATAGGTTCACCATCATGACCTTAGGCAGATCACTATTAATACCTATGCCTGGCATGGGGTTTGCACTAGTGATTTTCAAGGTCCCTTTAAATCCTTAGGTCTGATTCCATAAACTGTAATACAGTGGGGTGGGGTGGAAAAGGAAAGGAAAAATGGGGTGCAAATAGTTTATTAAACTTAAAACCGAATGTTTTAAGCACTGGTTGTTTTAACTGAGAAAATAGTTTAGAATAAAACATTACATCTTTTTTTGCCAGCACCTCTGTAATTTTGAAGTTCCAATGGAAACAAAGTGTTACGGAAAAGCACCCCCAAAAATTTCACCTAGGGTTTGTTTGTAAACATCTCAGTTCCTGAAAATTAAGTGGTTCTATTCCACGAAAGAACAGACTTACACTTATTTAAAATTTATATGTCATAGACATTACATTACCATTGCATACATCATGCATCACATATTACTTTACATCAAAATAGGTCTTACATATTTAAGAACTCAATGCAGAGTTTATCCTGAAACTCCAAGTTGTTTCCTACTTAATGCAAACGTGGTGGTACCCTGTTTTCACTTTTTTTAGGTGGTATATAACTTGTTATAAAATGCAAGTAAAGCCAGCCAGGTGCTAAGTTTCAGTAAGTGGCTGGATTTCAATCTTGTTTCCATTTTCCTTCTTTCATCAGCTTTGATTCTATTTGTGTTAAATTACAGATTATGAAGCTAACTTGTAATTATGTTCTTTATAAGCCGCACGCTTCATTTCTTTCCAACTGAAAGCAAAATCCTTTATGAGGTATTTGATATGGTAATAACGTCCCAAAGGCAAATCCCCTAGTACAGCACTTCAGGCTGCGGTTTTTGCGCGCTGTGAACAAACATCAGCACCAGATCACAAGCCTGTCGGAGGCCAGCGAGCTGTGCGGATAAATGTGAAAGTGCATTTGTGTAAACAGATCGATGCGACCGCACTCAGGTCAGGAGAGCTTTTGGACAGAAAGACAAAGGAGCCGGGAAGGTTCAGATCCGCAAGCACGACGCCCTGCGCGCCAAAATTTTTTAAAAAAATATTGTTTATGACTGCGAGGGCGTCTGTGGTGAAAGACGTGGCAGACTCCGCAGCGAGGGAGAGACTGAGAGAGACCCTTGTGGACGCACACTTATGAGGTGTTTTATCTTTGCACCACAACGCAACGGAAACGGGGTGTGAAAGGTGGGGGGAAGAAACAGCGCCCTTCTGGAAACGCGTCGAGCACCCCCTTCTTTCTGCAACTCCGCTGCGTGAGGAGGGGGAGGAAGAGGAGAAGGCGGAGGAGGAGGAGGCGACGTCGGCGGCAATCTCGGCCGGCCCCCTCCCAGCGCCGCCCATCCGCCCCCACCAGGCCGCGGAGGATCGACGCATCCTCGGCGTCTTTCTATCTCGCGCTCGCCGCCGCTTCGCCGCGCGCTTTTTGAGGCGGCTGCGCCTGAGTCGCGGCGGCCTTTGGCACCGGCCGGCCCAGCTGAGGGGGCCTCGGCAGCGCTTGGGAATGGGGCGCCGCAGCTGTTGCTCTTGCTTCATCGCGGGACGTCCCTTCTGGCAAGGCCGCGATGTTTTTGGTCGCCGCCGCCGCTTAACCGCCGGGTAAAAGGAGACCACCGCCGTGCAAGAGAACAGCTCGCGCCTTCCTCAGCCCCGGCGCCTTCCTCGGCTGCGGCGGCGATGAGAGAGCGGTCGCGTCTTCATCCAGCGAAGCAGGGAAGGCGCAGCTCTCCCTCGACCTTCGCCCGCCGGCGGCGCCTCCTCCGCCTCGCCGCGCTCAGTTCGCCGTAGACACCGGGCGGCGATGTGGAGCTCCGGGGCCGCCGCGTTGCAGCTGCTCTCGCGGGCGACCAAGCAAGCCTTAGCCCAGGGAGCCCGGCAAGACCTGAATCGCTGGCTGCAGCCTCTGGGAGCCGCGGGCGAGCCGGCGGAAGCGGCGAGCCGAGGGGCGTCCGGCGAGCCGCTGCTGTTCGGGGAGCAGAACGGGCTGTATCACTGCCCTCCGCCTCATCCTTCTCAGGAACCGTCGGTGGAGCTCCTGCTCTGCCAGCTGCCCGAAGCGGGACACGGTTTGGGGGAGAGCAGGACGTGGCACTGCTCGGGATGCCTGCTGGGCACCTGCTGGTGCAAGAGTTGCCTGAGCGCCTGTTTCCTGGCGATGTTCTGCTTTGCCTCGCTCGCCTTGATGCGCCAGTACCTGCGGGACCTGATGCTCTGGGCCGAGAGCTTGGACAGCCTGGCTGGCGTGCTCCTCTTCACCGTGGGCTTCATTGTGGTGTCCTTTCCTTGCGGCTGGGGCTACATCTTACTCAACGTGGCCGCCGGCTATCTCTACGGCTTCGTGCTGGGCATGGGTCTCATGGTTCTGGGTGTCGTGATCGGCACCTTCATCTCCCACGTGGTCTGCAAGAAACTCCTGGCCCGATGGGTGCTGGCGAGGATCCAGGGCAGCGAGAAGCTCAGCGCCGTCATCCGCGTTGTGGAAGGAGGAAGCGGCCTCAAGGTGGTGGCCTTGGCTAGACTTACACCGATACCCTTTGGACTTCAAAATGCACTCTTCTCTGTGAGTAACTGTCAAGGAGTTGTGCCTTGTTTAACAAATTGCAGGTGAAAGGTTCCTTCTTGGATCCAGTGCCGATTCCAGCTTACGGCTTATCACGTTGCTACTCTCCAGGTGTCTCATATGAGCTCCTACCAGACCCATCTTGCACAGGATTGTGAGCCCTACAGTTCTAGATATTGTGAGATTGGCTATCCTACCAGTTCAGATCCAGTTACAGGGCAAAGAGGTTGCAAATAATTGGTTTATCAATCAGTTCCATTGTATACAGGATGTACAATGACAATAAAGGCTATACTATACTAATTGCAGAGATAGGAAAAGTCAGAATCCAGAAATAATCAGAATATATGCTTTTGCCCCCCCCCCCCAAGGTAGTGTTTTCTTAAATCTGCACTGATTGTTCAAAGAAGATAAATATATCAGATATTAATATTGATCAATATATATGATCAATATCAGATATTCCCTGCAGATGCATGTAATAATAACCCACAATGGGAAAGCTTCCTTGAATGTAACTTGACACTGAGAAACAAGAGGAGAGCGATATTTAGTTGTTTTTCTTGTCTCAAATCTCTGTCATATAGCATTTCCTGTGTAGTGTACAGCAATTTACTCCCTGGGGACAGAAGACTTTGCTATATATTCTTGCATCTAGAAAAAATAAATAAAGCTGTGCTATTCAGAAGGAAACACAGGCAGAAAACAGGTTAAATTATGCTTTCTTGCTATCAGTTATCTGCTTCTGATTATCAGAAAGCTGTGGTTTTTAACATTTTTACAACTCCTAGCATACCTTTCCTAACCAATGAGAGCAATACATGTTTAGATATTGGTAGACTATTATCCTATTTATTTCAGTGTTTAGAAGACAGTATATGGCTTTTAAATTTGACATAACTTGATTCATCACAAAGGAGCTTCCAAAACAATTATGATGTAGGAGTTATTTTAACATAAGAATCACCTTGTATTTCCTCTACTTACAAGAAATTGTGCTTAAAATATGAAACCCAATTTTGTGCTGGTTCTGTATCTTATGAAGGTTAATTTGGTACATTTTTTATTTTTCTAAAATGAATAGTTGGTTTTGGCCTGTAACATAACACCTCTGTATTTTCCTGCATTCAAGGCAAAGGATGAATATATATTTAGTACTTGTGTTTGGTCCTTGAAATAATTTACATTTTATGATTGATTGGGAAGCGTTGTTTGTTTGTTACCAGAAGACATCTAAAAAGATTTTATTTGGGAAACTGTAGAAGCATATTGAAGGCTATACCTGTTGTTATGCCTGTAGTGTAATTAATATGCAAAATATATTTTCATTTCTTTTTTTGGCTTAGTGTACACAAATAGAGAAAAAAAGATATAAAAAAGAAAAATAAAGTGAAAGAAAAAGGTAGTTGTATATTTAAAAAAAATATAAAGTATTAAATCTTGAGCAGATGCAATAATATTGATCAATCTTTCCATTATAACAGTAGAAGGCCAGTTCATAAACAGAGAGTGAATATAAGTCATCAGTCCAAGATTGTAATTGAGGGTAGCATTTCATACATATAATATATTTCTATTGCAAAGGAATAATCCTGGTAAATCTGTAGTTCTCTCAATACTAGTATGTTTCAAAATGTTGATATATGATTCAAATCATATTCATGCCTTAAACGTCTTTCCTCAAAGCCCCATTAACACCTAAAAGACACTCCACCAAAATTAGAACAATAATAGAATATACATCTAAGCATAAATGTGTCTGTCATTTTGTATAACCAGTTCAAAGTAGACAAACATTCTTTTAATGCATTCTTTGAAGTATCCAATAAAAATGACAAAAGTTGAATGAGTCTGATCCTGAAGTTATAGGTAACATATTTAATGTTCTTTAAGACTCTTATTCATTGATTTATGAATATAGGAGTTTCCATTACTTTATCCCAAAGTACTTTAAAATAACTGAAAACACATTTCAATGATGGTATTCAGGATTTTGAAATGCATCTGGAACAAAAAGTTTTCAATAAAAAGTTGTTTTAATTAAATGTCCCACTGATCTTAATTTTTAGACAATCCCAAATCCCTTTTGCAGTAATTCAGATTTAAACAAATTTAATTCAGTTCTCAATTAACAATTATGTACAGTGGAGATCTCAAACTCAAACCTCCTTTCCCAGAAGTCATCTGAGTCTTGACACCCTTTGTCTCACTTTCTGTTCCTTGAAATAATGGCTTGCACAAGCACATTGTCACTCATCTTTTTCCAGGAAACACTTTATTTGGTGCTCTCCCTAAATATTCCTAAATGGGAATATTGACTTACATATATCCATCCTTCAGTAATACTAATTTACAGTAATAACCTTTTCCTATGAGCCCTTTAGGATTTTGTCTATGGAGCTTCTCAGTCATCCAGATCATGGTGGTCTGAAAGGTGTTTTCAGGCCAGTTGCCTCTTGAAAAAGCACCTTTGGGATCTTTAGGATTTTAAACTTCTTTTAATAGTAAACTAAAATTTAAAAATTGATAAAATTCAAACTAAAAAAAAGGTATATTGCCATGGGTAATTATTCTCAGGTAATTGAAACAATTTTCCCACCAAGCCAGCTGGGTGACCTTGGGCCAATCCATGTTTCTCAACCCAAGCCAAGGGCATCTTTTATTCAACTTCCTCAGGATATTTCGATGTGTGAGTAAATAATTCCAGTTATAATTAGCTTGCTGAAGGATTAAAATATTGCATATCAAGGAATGTTGCACCAGAATTTAAATTGGCATATCAAGGATTTTTCCACATCCATCAAACGTCCATTGACCACTCCAGTTTTTCTCTGCATGTATCTAAAATATCAAGGGGTAATCTAATATTATGTTAGGCTTGAAAATGTTTTATAAAATCTTATTGCATAGAATAGATAATTAAGGTAATATTGTCTGTGGGGCGCAAAAAAACAATCTACTGCGAACTCTGTATGGTATCAGGAAGGGCATCGGGCCAGTAAATGCTCAGCTCCATCGAGTCACCCGACTCTGCCCTGCTTTAAGGGATTACAAAATCATAAAAAGAGAGTTATTGTCTGTAATCTGTATGATAGGGTTGTAATGAAACAATTGGTGCAAGATTTAAGCAGGAAATTCTGCATTCTATTGCAGAATTCAATTCATAGTTATATGCACCACATTAAAGGATGTTGGAAAAATATTTTAAAAGAATTAATTGTAAACTTCAAACAGTACAGAATTAAGATAGTCAAGGAGTTTTCATATATTTAACAATAGTATTCCCCGTAGTCATAAAGGAGCAGTTAGACAGCTGGTTCATGTGTGATCTTCAGAAAGGCTTTATTATTTACATTTATTAAATGTAAAAGTATAACTGTAATTAAATATAAAAGTATAACTTATGCTGCTTACATTTATGAAATGAGTTGTCTTTAAGCATGTTATTAATGTGTTATATATAGAACTATAAATTACAAAACTTGTTATCATTTATTTTTGTTAGTTTGAAAGATAGAAAAACAAAGCTCACAAGACCTTTAGCCTGATAGAACTATATATTTTATGTCTATTGAAAGCAGATATGCCAAACTCTAAGTAAAAAGACAGCAGTAGACAAGCCCACATCAAAATCTGGCCAAATACAATAATCTTCAAAAAAAAATCTTTGCAAATCTACCCAGATAATTAGTACTCCTGCATTAAGTGGACTAACTTCATATAACCAGTTACTAAATATGAGCCTTAAAATTTCAAGCTTTCTTTAGCCGTTACAATTAAATTTGAAGCTAAAATAAGTGGGACTTCAGGATCCTTATTATCTCCTAAAATCATTACAAAATAATATTTACCTCACATAAATCAAATCACTAAATTATAGCAATCTAATCTATAAAACTTATATATAATGAAGTGAAAAAAGTTATTTAGAGAAACATGGATTAAAAAAAATGATTTTTAGCTCTTACTGCATGTAGCTGGGTTGGATAGTTTGTCAGGAAATGTACTTACCATTTGAATAGTTAGTGAGTAATGATAAATATGGTGTGAACCTATTTTATTAAATTTTCCTATGTTTTAAGGAAAACTGAAGTTTTAAGGAATTAAAAAAATAACTTTAGACCTACTGTAGGATTTAAATTAGTTTCCTAGATTACACTCTTGATTTTCAACAGTAGCAGTCAAAGAGAGATGTAGCGTGAGAATGGATGCTGTACCGTCTCTGATGCAGAGCAAACAAGCTTATGGGAAGAAATGCACAGCACTATCAAACTCTTGCTCACTTCACAAATACCTTTTTGAATACCCTGCAGGCTTAAGCATTTGCTCCAGCAAAAGCAACCACAGCAGTTTCTATTTCAATTTAATAATCACATGCAAAAAATAAAATGTATCAAGTGTCATAAAATGGTACAATCTCATAATAAATAACCCCACAATCAAAAAGTGGCAAAACAATATGATAGAGTGGCATCAGCATTAAAGAAGAGGCAGCAGATCAAAATAAAGATGTGAATATAAACTTTATATGCCCCCCCCCCCCAAATGTACCAGAATAGAGGAAAGCATTCTTTAAAGCTACAGCTTAAAAAAATCGATTCTGAGTAAGTTGCCATGATGCTTCTTTCTGGGCTGGCATGTACAAAAGGCATATGAATGAAAAATCTTTCTAAAGGTATCTTTTTCTGCTTTGTTATCCAGGATATGCTCCAGCTTGAAACTTCTATATAGCTTTGGCAAACTGTTCTTTATCTTTCTTTATCTTTCTGGACAAATTGTGTTTAAGTAGTCAGATACTTCCCTCCTCCTTTCTTTTGTCTGTCTTGAAATGTGGGGTTGTTAAATTGCTGTCATTTCCGCAGGAGTGAAAAACTGATCAGACTTGCTTGTCTAATGATATGTATTCCTTTTGTTTAGATCACAGATCTTTCACTACCAAACTACCTGATGGCTTCTTCCATTGGATTACTTCCAACTCAACTTTTAAACTCCTACCTGGGAACTACCTTGCGCACTATGGAAGATGTTATTGCAGAACAAAGTTTTAGTGGTTATTTCATTTTTATTTTACAGGTAAATTGTTTTGACTTCACTCAGCAATTTATTCTCATAGCATTTTAGGTTAACTTTTATAAATCGGTGCATCTGTGTGGTACCCTCTTGCTATTTGGGGCTGGGACTTCCATAGTCTCTGATCTTGACTATATTGATGGAAATTGAAATACCAAATATCTAGCATATTGTCTACCCTTAGTAAGAAGTTATTTCCAATATCTCAGGGGTTGCCACAAAGAAGTGGGAGTCAAACTATTCTCCAAGGCACCTGAGTGTAGAACAAGAAGCAATGGGTGGAAACTAATCAAGGAGAGAAGCAACTTAGAACTGCGGAGACATTTACTGACAGTTAGAACAATTAATCAGTGAAACAGCTTGCCTCCAGAAGTTGTGAA